ATAAAAATATCTGAAAGTAGTGGATAATAAAAGGGTTTTAAAGACATAAAATTGCTTTTATCTTCGCTATATTTAAGCACTCATTTTAGAGAAAAACATTGAATTAAAAAGAAGTAAGAAAAGGAAAAATACATTTTGTTTCTGTAGTGTAAATTGCCAGATTGCCACGAAAGATACCTTACTGTTTTCGCACTGTAATTTCCTCAAATCCGTACCTGTAGAGTGTCTACCCATGGTATTTATTGTCCAGAGTTCATATTGTGTAATCTAAAGGTGGGAAATTCCAATATTATTTCGTTAGCTCTTATTAAGTCTTTATTAACCTGAATACGTTTATTTAAACTCGATTAATTGAATGGCATAGATCATTCACCATCGATTGCTCACAACTAGTGATGTAGGTTGGGTGCATTTACCCGTGGGGATGTCAATTATATCTTATATTAATCGATCTAATGACCGGAATTTACTAAGATACTGTTACTTGTGGAAAACAGTCGTATAAGTCCTTAATAAATAAAATTTTCTGCAGTCAAAATACATCACATACATAAATTTTATGCTTATGCACAAAAGATCACGAATATTCTTAACAATTATTAACATGTGTTGTAGAATATACTAATCAGGTTTTATTTTTCTATTTTTACGCACAACAGGCCGTTAAGACCTAGGGCATTTTTTTACAACATAATCCTAATATTAACTAATTACAATTATTTTAAACATAACTTTAACTTCACACTAAAGTCTTCTTTTTTCCCTTCTGTCCCTCCCATGATCATATATTTGGTTTTGTCTTCATTTAGTTCCAATCCGAATTTCTGTGCTTCTTCGATGATTTTCTTCACAACTCTTCTTAATTCTTTCTCGGTTTTTGCTAGGATCGTTAGATCGTCAGCAAATGCCAAGCACTGGTGTTCATTTTTCCAGATCGTTTCTTCCACCTTCATGCTGCATTTTCTGATTACAGTTTCTAACACTAAGTTGAATAATGTAGTGGATAAAGGATCTCCCTGTCTCAAGCTTTTTGCAACCGTAAATTGATCTGATATGTGACCCTGCCAAGCAATTTCACACGTAGAGTTATTAAGTGTCATTTTAACTAGCTGGATCAGTTTCTTTGGTATACCCAAATGTTCCATTGCTCGATACATTTTGACTCTATCGACTCTATCATATGCTTGTCTAAAATCCACAAACAAAACATGCAGGGGAACTTTACCTTCATAACAAGTCGTTTGTATCTCCTTTAATGAGAAGATTTGGTCTACAGTAGATCTGTCCTTTCTAAAGCCGGCCTGATATTCATGCAGGATTCTTTCCGTGTAGCAATTTAATTTATTTCTCAATATTCTTGCCTAACCTAAGATTTTGTATACCGTGTCTAATATGGCTATACCTCTATAGTTGTCACACTTCAGTTTGTCTCCTTTTTTATGCAGAGGGCATATGCGGGCCTCATACCACTCCGATGGCATTACTTCCTTTTCCCATACTTGCACTAGTAGCTGATATATTTTTCTTTGTAGTTGTTCTCCACCAAACTTGATCATTTCTATGCATATGTCATTTTTACCAGGACTTCTGTTATTTTTCATTTCTTGTATTGCTGTCACCACCTCCTCCTGTAGGCTGCCTTTCAACTATCGCATCTTCTCCAACTGTCCAGTTGTCTACTGCTTCGTGGTCCTCCTCACCATTTAATAATTCTTCAAAATGTTTTTTCCATTCCGTCATTATTTCTGCCGGATCGCTAATTAAATTTCCGTCTTTACCTGTCATATAACTACAGTTGCTTTGGCAACTTTTTCCCATCTTTTTAACTTCTTGATAGAACGACCTCACCTCTTTGTTTTTAAACTTCTCTTCTATCTCTTTTAATTTCAACTCATTGTGGTTTCTTTTTCCTTCTACACAGAGCTTTCAATCTTCCTCGAAAAATTCTATATTCTTGTTTTTTACACTCTATTATCTGTTAATATTTGTTGTCTGATCTTCTTCTTTTCCTTTGCTATCGCCTGACACTCTTCGTCAAACCAATCTTTGTTTATCGTGAAATGACCCGGACATTTCTGCTTTTTATGCCACTACGTAATAATTAGTTTTAGTTTTTTTATATCGAAAATCTTTACATAAATATGAATAAATAAGGAAAAAATACGTTTTGTTGTTGTTGTTGTTGTATTCGTTTATACGTTTATATTGCATTAAAAACGGTAAATAACAAATTAGTGAAATGTTAGAAAATTATGTAGAATGTATTCGTAGGTGGCTCGGAAGGTCATACTTATTTTTTCGCGCTTATTTTACATAGTAAAATTCATTCTTAGCTGCACTATAAATATTAATGTATTCATAAAAATAAAATTTATGTTTGCAATAGTTTGCATACTCCAAGCTTATACGTCTAAGTCGCAGATTGGTCGTTGTGTATTAAATGTGTGATTATCGGTCAAATATTATTACACGACGAGTTGGATATGAACCAGGAAGCCATAAAATATATGTTTTATGGTTGTCATTATTATTTTTACTATTTTTTCGTGTGGTAATTTTTACTGATTCGATTTTGTATTACTGTTTTTAAACCATTTAAACTCTGCTACTTTGTAGGTATTGATAAGACCTTTGACCACTTTCGCCAATACGTGTGTTTAAAACCATTGAAGAAGATAAAGAATATAATAGTTTTCCGTATATATTACTAGATATTCCGTCTACCGCTATATCTAACAAGATCAGCAGTTATCCCTTGAACCTCTTTCTGGACTTCTTCTTCAAAGGTATAAAGCCGATGCAGAAGCGGACTTACGAGGAAAACGTGGCCTTATCCTCTTCAGTGGTTGAGGCAAACATTAGAAACAAACTTTTACAACTTTATAAAATACCGATCGGGAAAGCCTACATTTCTTAAGTTTTTCTTCATTTACTATTCGTGTTATTTTGCATCGCGCGTTGTTCTCGGCCGTGTGCTTCCATTTTTCCGTTAAAAGCATTCCGTTTTACCGTAAAGACGTTTCACGTAAAACTTTTAATATCCCATAGTAAAAATAGAGTGCACATACAAGCCATATCTACTGTTGTTGCTCAAACTACTATTATTATTCATTTTCTCACGTAATGTCACATTTTCACAGCACCTTCTCTTTTAATTGTGTCCTTAATTATATTCTGAATTAGTTATGAATAGTCCTAAGTTATTTTCGACATCACTTAAAAGCCAGGTAACGAATAATTTTAAATAATAAACCACATTAAGATCATAAATCGTTTCCGTTCCCGTATCATTTTAAATAGCGCTTTAATTTTTATTCATACCTTTTTCTTCCTGTTCATGTTAGAAAATCGGTCTGATAATTAACAAGTAATAAAAAGGTTTTATGTTTAATAAAAACTTACCCCTTCGTCATCCTCATGAAATTTAGTTTTCGTCGAAGATATGAGTCAGCCGTTTGAGACGAAACCCACGCAGGTGATTCGAACGATTTTTCATATCGGTATTTCCAAAAAGCTTTATGGGAGGCATTAATGGATACCAAAAAATGTAAATCAGCAACTGCAATAAAGTAAGGCCCTAATTCTTCTGGCACAATGCCCGATTTGCTCGCGGACCAACGGCAAGCGATTTGGCATTTGCGCTAGCCCGTAGTTAGGGAGCTAGATGATCTACGAGTTCATATTTCATCGCATAAAGTTTTTTAAGAGTTAAATACCAAGAAAATCGTATTTTACAAATATACAATTATTTTGCAAATGAATATTCCTATATATACATTTATGGATGGATGTGACATGTAATTAGGCGAGATGAAGATGTAACGATCAGAAAAATTTTCGACCGAAGATGACCACGAAGAAGACGATCCAGAGGAAGACCAAAACTTAGGTATCAAGATAACATAGAGGATGATCTAAAATCCATCGGAGTTAAAGCATGGAGAAGAGTTGCCAGAGACAGGGTGAATGGAAGATTGTTCTGAAGAAGTCTTTGGCTCATGACGAGCTGTAATGCCACTGATGATATATACATTTATGGCTACATCGTTCATAAGTTCCCGATACGTGTTTCTTTTAGATTATGTGTTTATTATAATTTTCTGTGTATACCTACATATATCAACATTTCTTTTACTGTTTAGTGGTTTGTATCGTACTGTTTCATACTATCCTGTCATTCAACTGTTGTCATTTCTTTCCGTTTTTGTTTTTTCGGCGGCTATTGATCACCATTGATTTCTTCCAGGTAGGCGAGGTTGTTATTTTTAGTTCCCTGTCCATAAGTCTGAGCCACGTGTCATGATTTTTTTATTTTTTTATAGGAAACTAGACCAGTCTTGTCTAATGTGTTTATCTTTCTAAATTGAATTCGGTGATCCAGTTGCTTCGTGTGTTGTCAAGATTTGATTTAAAAAACCTTTACAATCCAGAAGAAACATTAAAAATTACTTTATGGTATAGAGATTTAAGAATTGCAGGAAAAACCAAATAGAACAAAAAAGGATTATTATATTAACTGTTTATTAAAGTGTGACGAACCGTAGTGGATTTTAGTACTATTGTCGCATCTGTTCCTGGACTAAAACAGACTTATTTGCTGTTCCACCCGCTCTCGTTCTAGAAGTCAATAAACTGAATGCGAATTCTGAAGCAAATATTAAAGTACAACTGCACAAGATGTTAATTATGTTATTTATCTTCGTAATTGCTTTTTACCGATGAAATAACTTACTAAGAATGTATGTACAATGTTTTAAAAAATAAATATGCAGCACACCATTTTATGAAAGAAATTTGAAAACTATGAGATTCCGTTACTAAAATCTTGTTTTCCTGTTATTGGATGATACTACTTATTTTAAATAAGTGTCTAAATAACTTTTAATGAACACTTTTATTCCTTAAAACAAGTATAACATTACCACCAGTTAATCTTTGTTAAATTAATTTACCTGATTGTCCGATATAATCACTAATTTATTTTTTTTTTTTCATTACAGAGGAGGAAATAGATGTTGTCAATGTCAACGATAAGTTTCCATTCACAAACAAGTCGGTGTTTTCTTTCCCCAATAATCCATCGACGAAAGATCGCCAACAGATCCAGATGCGTATGGCAACTGCTATATCCAAGAAGCGAATATCAGCCCAAGCTCAAGGCATCAAGACTATCATGCCCGTTAGGAAAACAGCCACACCGGAGGCGTCACCTATCAAAAGAAAACCCGTGGAAACCACAAGGTAAATTGAATATTTGTTTAAAGCTGAGGCCATGATTTATCTTTTGATATTTTGCAAATCAGTTAGTCAAATAATTTTAGATCTTTTATTGTTGTATATTTTATCAATTTTCTTCAATCTATCTTTTATTCTAATATTGTCCTAGATATAAAGTACTTCTAAAATCTTAATTGATATACTTCTTTTGTTGTTTAGGAGTGGGAAAAAGACTCGGCAATACAGGACACCGGTTAACACTCCATACAAACGCAGACAATATGGAAACAGTAGCGATAGCGAACCTGAACCATCCGAGAAAAGAAGTTTACACAACAACATGGAGAGGCAGCGAAGAATCGACCTGCGCAACGCTTTTGAAGATCTGCGAGTATTGGTTCCCGAAGTTAGCAAGAAAGAGAGAGCCGCCAAAGTGGTGATCCTCAGAGAGGCAGCTCAGTATTGCGATTTCCTCACCAACACGTCCACGAAATATTCGAAACACTTCGATGAATTAAAAAAGAAGCAGGAATTCCTGAGGCGGAGAGTGTCTCAACTGAGAAGGAATTTAGCAGCAAATCGTTAAGTTAACTATAGAATTTGTAAGAATACATGCGATTTGTAGTAAAGGGTGTGTTTAGAGTTGTATAGAGAATTCCGAGTATAGGAGAGGCTAATGAGTGACTCAAAAGGACGAAACATCTTCTTAGTTATTTGTTATATTTTTGTTTTCAAAAATTAGAACTGTTGCTAAATTCTTCTAGCAAAATTATATATAATGATTCTGTAATTATCTTAAATTTTCGGTCTCGAAAGAACTAATAGGAAAAAGCAGGTTATTTTACCCTGCGATCATTTTCGTTCTTTGAAGTAATCATTGAGTCAAAAATACAACAAATACAAAGATGTTACGTTTACCAGTTGTATTTTATACCTTACATTAATTGTAATTGATTTTTGAATATCTTTTTTGTTTTTTCGAAATTTGATCACTCACTAGTAGTTACACACCCTGTATTTATGAATTGATAAATAATAATTAGCTGTGATTTGATCATTTAGGGGATAGAATAATAGTTTTTGTTATCGTTTATAGTTTGCAAGGATTCACTTGTTTTTAGTTACTTGTCAGATACTTTTAATAATGTCTCTTTTTGAATTTTTTGGTGATAAAAATCTTTGTGATAACACCTGATTTTTTCCGTATACCGCATACTTTTTAGTTTAGAAATTTTCAAGTAGGTTACTTACTTCTTTTTTATTTTCTTTAAGAAAAAAGAGCAAAACATTTAGAGGTATTTGAAAAGCAATAACTTTTGTTTTTATGAGACATTCTATATTTCTGGTGTTTTTCTTTTTTTTAAATTTTTTTTAAATGTTTTTGTTAAGTTGAAGTCATGCAATTTTAAGTGTGTGAGTTAAGAACTTTAATTTGTCAGAGTTTTATCTGGCTTTTTTTTATCTTCGTTTGGACTGACGATCCATCAAACAGTCCTAACTTCAATCAAGAAAATTAACGAGACTCTTTAAGTTATAAGCAGAAAACTTATTGCAGAGTCGCCATCTGGCATATAATTTGAAATATGATTTACCATCTAAGGTTTTTTTGATGAACTATGTATTTTATTGCTGGGTAGTTCACTTCAAATTTTTTCCATCGCGTTGGAGTGCTCATTTAACAAGGACTCGCTGGTCCACTACTAAGAATAATATAAATTTATTCATAAGGTCACCATAGATTAGTTATCCCACTCTACCTGCTATGTACAAGACTGTAGAAGCATATTCGAGTTCATTTCGCTCTTGATACAGAAAATAATGCTATTTATAAAACTATTGTGACTCAAATTAAACTCAGTTTCCACTTAACTGACTCATGTACAGACTTAGATAATATATTAAATGTTGCTGCAAAATATTAAGTACTTAATCAGTAATAAGTACCAAAAATAGTGATCAAATGAGCCATTTTGGGGGTTAAAAAACTCCTAGTTGCCTGCACGGTTTAACAAATCTACTGTAACTCGATACATAAACAGTGGTGCTCATAAGAATCAGTCATACTTCAGTGACTCGCCTTTAGGCTCATAATTAAAATCCAATCCGTGATTACAAAATCGGACTCAAAAGTAACCACCCAAGTCAATGATAATCATGAACTACCATCTCTTATTCAATATGGATACATAAGAAACAATGGCACTCTTGTGAGTCAGTTCAAGAATAAATGGCATACCAAGTGCCTACAAATGCTGACGAATAAAAGTGTACCAAAAGTTTGAATGAATTATATGACGAGGTTTATATTTACACCCTCATGTTATATGATATAATACAAACTTTAGTGACCTATGAGTCATTGAGGGTTAAAAACTATGAAGATACTACTAGTTTCACATATCAAATTGATGGCAAAATATAACTACATAGTAACAAACGCTGGTGCTTATATGAAACACATTCATGAAATGTTTTCACTTGCATTTTAGTTACTTCAGTAGTTTAACTATCATAAAACTCATAACAATTCAGAAATTGGTTACCTAAAAGAATTACCATTTCAAAGTTTTAAACTCTCATTAGTACTTCTGTTAAATCACGAGTTATTTTCACTTGTGGGTCAAATGACAGCATATTGTTGTTATGCCTGCAAATTACGGCAAGAATATGAGACTATAATTATATATTAACTGTTTGTCGCTGGTGTTAGTTCATGGGTTATGGCTATCAAGTCAGTAGATGATAATAATATCCACAAATATACAAGATTGGAGTGGCACTATTAATTGGAAATGAGACTATGAGACAAGTAATTTACATGAGTCAAACGAACCTTTTTGAATGCTAAAAATAGCTTCTTGATGAGTCCACTTTGACTCTACAGTCACGTTTTGAATAATTGTTATAGCTTACGATTTTTATTTAGTCTTAAGTACAGACTTGCATTTTTAGGTTAGATTTTCATTTTTATAGTTCATATTGAATAATTATAGGGAAAGCACTACACCTATGAATATATTTGTTATCTAACGCAAAAACATATCAAAATTTTGGTGTTTAATTCTTTATAATAAAGGTCTAACAAATTTTTGGCATGTTTTAGTAGACTTTACATACTTAGAAATCATATGAAATGATAATTCATGATTATATATCGAAATCTTAAGAGTGGGATCCATATAGACCTTTAAAAACTTATTTTTCTACAGAAATTTATGTTATTCTGTTCAAAAACGCATAATACGCTTTTTATAATATTGTGTTATTGTATATATGTAAATGTAATGAAAAGAAATGGTGTAAAAAATCTTATCCTTTTACTTTTTGTATGTTTTAAGTGCTTTTTATTGTTAGTTCTTTTTAATATTGTTGAGTTATACACAAAACTAATCTTTTGGTGTGTTAAATGTTCATTAATGACTTTTGTTAGGAGGATTTCTATTTATTTATTCATGTTGATAGTAATAAAATGAAAGAACTATAAAATCAATTGGAATTTTCATAACTGTAAGCTTGTTCTTATGTTGATTAAATGCTCCCAAATGAAGGCGAAAATGTTCAGTAATTAAATAGAAATCCTCTGATGATTTGTTTAATACGTTTTGTTCAAGTTGCCATCTTGGGTGTATTGGTCTCTTAATATTCATTATAGGTTCATGGTAATCGTTAAATATAGGGGATGCCACTTTTATTTATTATTTCTGCTCACATTTTACTTAAATCGTGTTCTAAGTGAAATTAACTTTATTTGAAGAGCGAATCAAAAAGAAAAGTACATTCGGTGCTTCTAACAAAATTTTGAACTATAAAATCTACGATGTCATTCTTTAACATCTGGAATGTTGGCAATGTAAGTAACAATACAATAAAATAAGCAACAATAACTTATCATCCTGACAAACTTAGTTTCTTTAATTTCTATTTTAATTATAAAGTTGTACTGCAAAAATTGTAACATTTGTGTCGTATTGTTTTCTTATATTTAGCGTTTCCATTTAAAAATGACTGGTGATAAGGTCCGATTTGGATCAAGTTAAAACCTTAAAAGGATCAAACTCGTGGCTTCTGAGGGACTATGAATGGTAATAGCTAACCAAATGTTTATTTAGAGGACCAATCACAACAGACACATGAAATATATAAAAAAAAATGCTCAAAGTGTTATATATTTTGTTATAATTATTATAGTGGTGTTTTTTCTTAGTTTATATGCTACTTATATTAATGGGAATTTTTCGTGCATGATAAAAATTTGTATAAGTCTTCCTCTGCACATAGTAGTTTTAGAATTTAAAAAAAGTCGTGAGAAGAAGAGAATTGTTGTGTTCATCATATTTTACAGTATTTTATACTTTTGATAAAATAATTATAAATACAAAAAAATATAAAATAATAAAAAAAAACGAAAAAAAATGTAAAATTATCGGGTTTTCAACCGGTAAAATGGCCTACAATAGTTTCTTAATCTTGCATTATGTGTTTAAAATTGTTGCTTTTACACAATTGGACCTGTATTTCGTATTGTTTGGGGAAAAGTACTTGGTTTATCAAAATGATCAAATAAAATGCTCATTTGTTACTTTTTTTAGGGTTTTATACTAACGCATTTTTTAATATTTCTTTTAACATTTGTTTTTATTGAATTGTTCTATTTGTCTGTTTGGGTGGTATTTTGTAATTGAATTTTAAAATAATTATCTAATGAAGTAGACTTGAAATTTTAAACAGTTCAAATCCTGTTTTTAGAAAACGTTTCGTAAATGAATTCATACACATCATCAGCTCCTGATCTAAAATTAGCACATGAGAAACACAGTTTGGAGAACTAACAATTGGAGACCTGCCCGGAAAAACGTTGCAAACGACAAAATGAAACTTTTTAGATAATCACAAAAAACGATTTTGATACTATTATTTACCAAATTTTGTGAATTTAAGTGTTGCTTATGTATATTACTAGTAAGGTAAAAACTTTGAATATAAATAACACAGAACAAAAGACTAATGAGCGCAAAAAAACCAAAAAGAAATTTTTTGTAGAAGAAAAACGTTGCATGTGTACCTAGTGTTAACGCACATGCAACGTTTTTCCGTTGATTGTGCTAATAAACGATATTCCTTGCAACATTTTTAACATAGAAAAATACGAGCATTATTAAAATGTCCCAAAATTACAGTAAATGAAAATACGAAAAACTGAAAAGTAAAAAAAATTTATTCTCAATAAAACTTACATACTAGATAAACAAAATCATATTAAGTTGCATGTGCAGGTAATTCACAATAAAATGATCTATACTGTTCTGCTAAACATTCAGTCATTTTCAGCAAGTCTGCTTTTTTCTTATCAGATATAGTTAAAGGTTCTCTGTACAGTGGAGGCAAGGTTTCTGGTTCAATTAGATTATAAACTGTATTTCGGACTGCAGCTCGTCCTCTTGGTATTTTTAGTAAAGGTGATGTCCGCCATGATTGCAGGATATTGTGCGTTTGTCTTATCCGCAGAACAGTCAGTTCGTTTGATGTGACCTGTATCCAACGTGCTTCTGTTATTTTAATACTATCTTTCTTAATTTGACTCTCAAC